AAGGCCGGGGGGGGGGGGGGGGGGCAGGGGAGCAAGCCAGTAAGTAGCATTCCTCCATGGCCTGTGCTACAGCTCCTGCTTCCAGGTTCCTGCCCTGAGTTCCTACCTTGGGCTCCCTGAAGAACTGCAACCTGGGAGATGTAAGCTGAATAACTCCTTTCCTCCCCAAGTTGGTATTGGTCAGATTATTTTGTCGCAGCAATGAAGAATAAACTAAGACAAACCTCAAGTACATATTGTTAGCTTAGAGACTCCAACCTAATATATACTATATGATTCAAGTTGCACAAGATTTGGAAAAGGAAAGTCTAATGAAGACAGTAAGAAGATTAGTAGTTTACCAAGGCCTAGTGGGTAAGAAAAGCTGAATAAGGCAAACACAGTAAGACTTTTAGCACAGTCAAAACTATTCTACATGATACTATAAGGGAGACTATATACAGCAATTCTACATTTCTCAAAACCAACAAAATGTACAACAGTGAGAAAATCTTTCTGCACTAAATCACATCACAATAAATATGAATCAATATAATTAGCTCATCAGCTGTAACAAACTGACCACGCTAATACAAGATGATTCTAATAAGGGAAGCTGTGCTGGAGGAATAGTCTGAAGCACTATACAAGAACTTTCTGTACTTTCCATTTACCTTTACTGTAAATCTAAAATTGATCTAAAAACCTATCAAGTATACTGCTGGCATAATCAGATGACTGATCTTAGACTATGTAAGAATATTTACTATAACAAAACTAAATACCTTCATTGGGAAACTACTAATACAGTTATGTAAAACTGAGATTATCTTAATAAATATAGTAATTAAAGAGCCAAATTATATTTCTGACTTAAAAATTATTCTTTGAAAATAACGGGGGCAATTACTAAAACAAAAATATGCTCCAAAGCCTATTGCTTCTAAGTCGCAGTACTTACCCAAGTACAGTTCCTGTTTCTTGGTAATTTACTTGAATAAACTTGCCAAAACGACTTGAATTGTTATTATGAGCTGTCTTTGCATTTCCAAAGGCCTGTCAAAATAAACAGCATTGAACTTAAAAATAATTTTTTAAACACTGCTTAGGTTGACTGAAAGAGATAAAATACTAAAGAGACAATAAAGGCAATTTATGTTCATACTCATTCATATTTAAGCTAAAATAAAAGCACAATCCTAATGTACCATTACATACCTATTAAAATCGCTAAAGGAAAACTGACAATGCCAAATGCTGCTGAGGATATTCATCAACTAGAACATTAATATTTGATGGTAGGAAATCAAAATAGGAAGACCACTCTAGAAAACTGACAGTTTCAAAAAGTTAAATTTACTCTTATAACATGATCAAGCCATTTTTTGAATACCGTGAGTGAGATCAGTAAAACCAGCAAAATAAGGACCTCTGAAAATTCCTCTCCTTCAAATAATAAAAAAGAATACTGGTGACATTAAGTATGGTGGCACCCAACTTTACTCCCAATACTCCAAGACAGAGGCAGGAAAATATATGTGAGATCTAGGTCAACCTGGTCTTCATATCAAGTTCCAGGTCATCGAGGGCTACATAATGAGACCTTGTGTTTTTTTTAAAAAAAAAAAAAACACTTGGTAAGCCCTGCTAACTGTTTAAGAATTTTAGAAAGTAGTAAAGGTTTAATTCTCAATGAGGAGGGAGGGGTCTTAAGAAAGACAGTTGAGGTGCTGGGGAGATGGCTCAGTAGTTAGGAGCACTGGCTGTTCCTGCAGAGGACCCAGGTTCAATTCCCAGCACCCACATGGCAGCTAACAACCATCTGCAATTCCAGTTCCAAGGGATCTAACACCCTCTTCTGTCTTCTGCAAGCACTGTACAAACATGTGCACTTATATACATAAAGGCAAGACACTCATACACATAATATAAGTAAAATATTTTTAAAAAGAAAGAGCAGGACATGGTAGTGCACACCTTTAATCCCAGCACTTGGGAGGAGGCAGGAGAATCTCTGTGAGTTCCAGGCCAGCCTGGTCTACATAGTGAGTTCCAGGACAGCTGGGGCTACAGGGAGACCTTATTTCAAAAACAGCGCCCCCCCCAAATAAAAACATGGCAGTAAACCATCTGTAACTCCAGTTCTGGGGGATCTGATGCCTAGACTTGACATGGGTGCACTTATATACATGCAGGAAAAACATTCATACACATAGAATAAAAATAAATAAATAATTTATCCCAGCACTTGAGAGCCAAAGGCAAGAGGATCTTTTTGAGTTTTGAGTTTAAGGTCAGCCTGGTCTACATAGCAAGTTTCAGACCAGCTGGGGCTACAGGGAGACCCTGTCTTAAAAAGAAAAAAAAAATTTAAGTGACTGAATATGGTAAGAGTAACCAGACATTGTGGCATTTACAATCCATTTCTCCCTAGCTCCACACTCAAAAGCAAACCAACCTCCCACAATTATATTTGGAAAAGCATCCTAGATACCACTAAAGCAGAACTGAAGTTCTTCCAAACCCCTATTTCTCAGTTTGAACTCTGATATTTCTCTACTAAACCTTAAAGGGTTGTCTTTTTATTTGAACTGACTCATTGACTAACTGACTGAGAGCAGCATTTGTACACCCCTTACCACAACATGTTTGTCAGAAGCAATCCAAGGCAATTGTTTAAAATTATATTTATTTTTGTTTTATGTTCACAGTGTTTTTCTGCTTGTATGTAAAGTGTGCCACATGTGTGCAGTGAAGCAACTGTTTTAAACACTGCAAGTACCTAAAGTAAAACAGAAGAAGAGGAACAATCTCATTCATGACAAGTACAAAACAGCCTTGAAAAGATATGAAATGCCCCTAAGTATATTGAAGGCCACATGTATGCAACATGATTACAAACACTGAAGAATATACACATGCTCAGAAAAGATCTTAGACCTGTGTTTCTGAATTTTCTGAAGGTCTGTGTCAGAAGTAGTAGGGAAAACAGAGTTGACAACTACCTAGCTGAGGATTAAAGGAGTACTTCAAGAAGCACACAAAACCTTATAATAAAAAAAAAAAAACCCGATACCATTAATGCATCTAGGCATTTAAACAAATTTTCATCCAATAAGAACCACAGAAGACAACTGAGAAGCATTTTATGAATCCATGAAAAAAAAAAAGGACAACAGAGTATTTAGGGAATTAGTTCAAAAATCATGAAAGAGGGAGCTGGAGGGATGACTCAGTGGCTGCTCTTGCAGAGGACCTGGGTTCGGTTCCCAGTACCCATATGGCTGGTAACAACTATCCGTAACTCCAGTTCCAGGGGAATCCTATGCCCTCTTCTGACCTTAGAGGGCACTGTATGTCATGGGTGCACTTAACCAGGCAATACACTCATACACACAAAAAAATTTTTAAATAATAAAAATTTTTTTGAAAATCATGAAAGTGGGACTGGAAAGACGGCTCAGTGATTAAGAGCACTTCCTGATCTTCCAGAGGATTCAAGTTTGGTTCTCAGCACCCACATCAGGTGGTCCACAAGCACTTGTAACTCCAGATCCAGATGATCCAATACTCTTCTAACCACTGCAGACACATGGCATAGACTCAACACTCACACACATACATACCCATAAATATATATATATATTGGTCTTTTTGAGACAGGGTCCCCTGTAGCCCCAGCTGTCCCGGAACTCACTTTGTAGACCAAGCTGGCCTTGAACTCACAGAGCTCCACCTGCCTCTACCTCCCTAGTGCTGGGATTAAAGGCGTGCACCACCACGCCTGGCTTATTATTTTTATTTTATGTGTATGAGTGTATTGTCTGCATGTATGTGAGTGCGCCCATGTCATGCAATGTGGCGGAGGTCAGAAGAGGGCTTCGGATTCCCTTGGAACTGGAGTTGAAGATGGTTCGTAGGCACCATGTGGGTGCTGGGAATCGAAACTGGGTCCTATGCAAGAGCAATCAGTGCTCTTAACACTGAGCCATCTCTCCAGCCCCTAAAAACACACTAAAAATTTTAAAATCTGTCTTTATTTTCCATTTTTCAGCTTCCCTTGGTCACTAAAAATTGTCTTTATGTATAGTTTTATTTCATCTGGGACTGGAGAGATGGCTCAGCAGTTAAGAACATGACTGCTCTTGCAGAGGACACAGGTTCACTTTCCCAGCACCCACACGGCAGCTAACAACCATCTGTAACTCCAGTTCCAGGGGATCCAACTCCTTCTTCTGACTTCCGAGGACACTGTACAACACAGGTGCACTTAAACACATGCAGACAATACACTCATACACATAAAAATAATAAAATATTTAAAAAGAAAGTTACTTCTGTACACTTACCTCCAATACTGGTCCAGCTCCAAGGATAATCTGTTCTACTCCACTGGCAAATCCTTTCTGACTAAGGGCAGTAAGGTGGTGAATAAGAAAGTTTGTGCTTTGAGTCTTCCCTGAACCACTCTCTCCTGAAATCACAATACACTGGTTCTTTTTGCGCTGTAGCATAGCATGATATGCTACATCAGCCACAGCATATATGTGGGGTTCAAGTTTTCCCAACTGGTGGTTATCATACATTTTGACATACTTAGGGTTATAAATAGGAAGAAATTTAAATGGGTTAATAACTATTAGAATACTGCCAACATAAGTGTAAATCTTTTCATGCTTAAAGCGATTCCGTAGATTTTCTAAGAGAGTCTTCTCATTCAAATCAGGTAAGCTACATAAATCATCAAAGTCCTTCTGCTGAGGCTGGGGAAGGAAACCACGTTCCATCATCCTGCGGCGTTCTTCTGTTACCCGTAGCCATGACTGAAGGCTACCATAATGGATTGATCCATCAAGGTTTTTTTCTCTCAGAAGAAAGCGATAGTCCTCTCCACTTAAGCGATTTTCCAGGGCCATCCGGGGCCACAACATCATTCGCTGAACTGGACAATCTGTTGGATTGAGTATCCATTCTTCTCCACCAAATTCCTTTACCTCTGCTAAAACATAGCATTTTGTTTTGTCTAGGTGAAGTCTGTTTATAAGAGAATCAATCACCTCAGCAGCTGTAGAGCTTTTTCTGGCAGGAATTGGGCAGTAAATTGTTCCTTCTGAAATTGTCCCAGGATATATCCGCAATGTGTGTTCATTATCTTCAAAGCGTCGTCTTCCTCCATCACTTATATTCATATTGGATCTTGTCCCATCAGAATGGACAATGTGCATTCAAGACTGTGCAAACCATTTTCTTGGCAAAAGAACTGAAAACATAAAAGATATAAAATTTAGCAGTCATATTAAACACTGATTGCTAATGTTCAGAAACTAAGGCCACACACAACAAGCATGTTGATTACATCTTTCATAACACAAAATCCAACTCTCTGTATAAAAGTATTAAGCCAGGCACAGTGCTACATGCTAACAAATCCAACACTTGGGATTTGAAGGGAAGGGAATCAAGAGTTCAAGATCATTCCTGACTACATAATTAAGTTTGAGACCACCCCGGATTACATGAGACCTTGTGTCAAAAAAAATAAAAAGTATTGAAAATAGTCGCATTGAAACCATAAGAGATTATGGTTTATTATCTAAGTCAGGGAACATTTTAAAAATAGTAATATGCTTAAAAAAATACATATGTCAATGTTTTAGTTATTCAACAATAAGCCAAATAGTAAAAACAGAAATTATTTTTACCTGCCGTGTCTATAAATAATCTCACTAAAGACTAATTACACAGAGCTAATTAATCATCTTACACCCAAATTTCTTAAGGATAATGCAGAAATAGAGTATCACCAATGGAACAATTTTTAGTGAAACTCACTAAAAACAGTAAAATGACAAGAGAAAAACAGGAATTAAAGTTATAACCAAGAAAACAAGAGAAAACATGAGAGAAACCTAATATGAAGACATTTTTAAGGAATTCTTATCTTCTACTCTCCCCTTCTTCCATGGTGAAGAAAAAGGAGGGAACTAAAATATTATGCCCCTAACTTGCTGAGCAAAGCTATTCAAAGTTATCACTATGAATTGTATTCAACCCTCTACTCTGCCCTCCAATCTACTGTACTACTTTTATAACCTTTCTTCATATCCCTCCAGTCTTGTAAAACTCCACAAAACACTACTTCCAAAAGGATGATTTCAACTTTTGCAGATCACCAAAATAACTTTTCTTCAAGCAGTTTCTTTACCTCAAAATTTCTAAATTCATCTGGTTTTTTTTTTTTTTTTTTTTTTTTTTTTTTTTTTGGTCTTTTTGAGACAGGGTCTCCCTGTAACCCCAGCTGTCCTGGAACTCACTATGTAGACCAGGATGGCCTTGAACTCACAGAGATCCGCCTGCCTCTGCCTGCGATTAAAGGCATGCGCCACCATGCCCGTCATTCATCTTTTTTCTACCCTTATGTTTCTGTCTACAGAGAAAATAACGTGCCATATCCTTTCTTAAACAAAAGCTATTTTCTATCACCTCCATTAGTAATAAACACCCTTTAAAAAAAAAAAAAACTGTAATCTAGGCTCAGCCAGTAAAGCATCAAGAACCTAAATTCAGATCCCCAACACCACAAAAAAAAACCAAGGCAATGGTGTATATCTGTAACCCCAGCAGTGAGAGGCAGAAATAGGCAAATTCCTGGACCTCACCGGCCAGCCACTCTAGCCAAAACAGTGAGTGCTCCAGGTTCAGTGAGAGACCCTGCGTCAAAAAATAGACTGCTGGGCATGTTGGTCACATGCCTTTAATTTCAGTACCCAGGAGGCAGAGACAGACGGATCTCTCTTAAGTTCAAGGCCAGCCTGGTCTACATAATGAGTTCTAAGTCAGCTGGGGTTACAGGGAGACCCTGTCAAAAAGACCAAATCATCATCATCATCATCATCATCATCATCATCATCGTCGTCGTCATCGTCATCATCATCATCATCATCATCCAGGTAACTCAGGAGGCAGAGGCAAGCAGAACACTGTGAGTTAGGGACCAACTTAGCCCACATAGTGAGTTCTAAGACAGCCAAGGCTACACAGTGGGACCCTGTCTCAATCAATCAAGTAGACAGTGACTAAGGAAGTCTTCTGATACGAACGGATGGTCACAAGCACACACACAACACACACTTGTGTTATTTTCCTTTTTTATTTCATTTTTTAACACATAAAATGTGGGATTATATTTTTACTTTATTTGTTTGAAACATGAATTTCATGTAGCCAGGTTGGGAAGATGCTTAAACTTCAACCTCCACCTCCAAAATGCTGGATGCATGTGCCACCAATGCCCAGTTAATGTGCTATTTTTTTAAACATAGAGGAAAAGCCCTGCAGTTATCTCTATCTCATACTACTACATACTTTTCGAAGTTCACTAATCACAAAATTATCTTTTCTTATAATCTAGATGACCCTTAAAACAGACTATGGAGCCAGGCTTGGGGGCACAAGCCTTTAATACCAGCATTCAGAAGGCAGAGGGAGGTGGATCTCTGTGAGTTCAAGACCAGCTTGGTCTACACAGTGAGTTCCAGGACAGCTGGGGCTACAGGGAGACCCTGTCTCAAAAAGACCAAAAAAAAAAAAAAAACAGACTATGGAATATGCTTTTGAACTACCTATGTATCTACTGCTCAAATTCAACAAGTTTGAACCAGCTACACTTGCTCTCCTTTAGCTGTGGCAGAGAGAGCTGCTATTATGTCCATACATGCATATTATATCTGCGTTTAACTCTCCATAAATTATATATAGTACTCTTTTTTAACGTTTAAGAAATAGTATCACCTATACTAAATAGTGCGCATCTCACTTTAATTTAGTGTTATCTTTTCTAGTCATGAATGCTGACACATGTGCAAAGACTGCCAAATCATAGCCAAGTGAATGATTTCACCACTGTTCATTAATGCACTGTCCTTTTAGTGAATACTAGCTACATTTCCAATATTGCACTAAGACAGTGATACAACAATTTCATACATGCCTCCTCATGTATCTCTACTAAAATTTGAGGGGGCTTTAGAGTGAGCAGAGAACTGACTGGGAGTACTTTCAATAACCAGATATTAACAAAATGCTGTCTCAACGATAGTTCCAACTGACTATTTACCAACAAGTGTGGAAGAGTTCAGAATTTTCTACCTCCTTTCCAAACGTTAATATTGTCAGGATTGAGATTTTGTTAATCTCAAGCATAAAAAAAGGCAAGAAAATGACCTATAGGGAAAGGTGCTTACCACACCCAAGGCTGAAGACCTGGATTTGAGAACCACATGACACAAGAAGATAACTGCCTCCACATTGGTGCACACACATACCCACACAATTGAACACACACACACACACACACACACAAGCAAAATAAAAATTTTAAATATACAGTATAAAGCCAGGTGTGGTGTCACACAGCTTTAATCCCAGAATTCAGGAGGGAGAGGCAGGCAGATCTCTATGAAATCAACGCCAGCCTGGTATATATAGGGTAGCTATGGCTACCAAGAGAACCTGTCCCGAAAACAACAACAAAAAGTATAAAAATGTTACGTTATGCTTTATTTGCATCTCTCTCAGATTATTAGTGAGGGTGAGGAGTAACTCTAATGTTCTCATTTGCAATTTCACCTGCTGGATTCTTCTCTTTTTTTTTGAGACAGGGTCTCCCTGTAGCCACAGCTGGAATGGAACTCACTATGTAGACCAGGATGGCCTTGAACTCACAGAGATCCACCTGCCTCTGCTTCCCAAGTGCTAGGATTAAAGGTGTGGGCCACCATACCCAGCCCCTGCCGGATTTTTTTTTTCCTTTTTTAATGAGCTGACTTTTCCTTGAAAATGTGAATTATTCATTTGAGTTTTTCACATAATTATTCTGAATATCAATCAATCTCCCACTTGGATATGCAGAAAATACTCCATGGCAGCCAGTGGTTTAGCTATTTTAATTATGCTTTTATTTATATTCTCTCTTGCTCTTTCTCTGTGTGTGTGTGTGAGGGGGGTACACAAGCCAAGGCACACATGTGGAGGTCAAATAACAACTGGTACTTTGATATTGTATTGGTTTACATACAAATATTGTAAAGAACTGACATTTTAGCTTGAAATAGTAGAACATACGTACAACCCAGCACTTAGAAAACAGAGGCAGAGGCACACCTGGCAGGACTGATATTTGACAAAGGGGCCAAGAACATTAACTGGAGGAAAGACAGCATGTTCAGCAAATGGTGCTGGCAAAACTGGATCTCCACCTGTAGAACAATGAAACTAAACCCCTATCTTCCACCCTACACAAAAGTCAGATCCAAATGGATCAAAGACCTCAATGTAAAGTCTGAAACTCTGAAACTGTTAGAAGAAAACATTGGGAAAAACCTACAAGATAAAGGTATAGGAAAGGATTTTCTAAACCAGACATCAATTGCTCAGGAAGCAAGGGCAAGAATTAACAAATGGGATCTCATTAAACTAAAAAGCTTCTGAACATCAAAGGAGGCAACCAGAGAAGCAAATAGAAGACCCACAGAATGGGAGAAAATCTTCACCAAAGACACATCTGACAGAGGTTTAATAACCAGAATATATAACGAACTCAAAAAAACAGGAATCAAAACAAGAAGCAACTGAATTAAAAGATGGGCTAAGGAGTTGAACAAAGAGTTCTCAAAAGAAGGAGTAAAGATGGCTATGAAACATCTTAAGAGATGTTCAACATCACTAATAATCAGGGAAATGCAAATTAAAACCACTTTAAGATTTCATCTTACCCCAGTCAGACTGGCTAAGATCAAGAGAAAAAAATGATACCAAATGTTGGAGGGGATGTTGGGAAAGGGGAACACTCATCCACTGCTGGTGGGGCTGCAAACTTTTTCAACCCCTATGGAAAGCAGTGTGGAGAACTCTAAATAACTACAAATGAACCTACTGTTTGACCCACTTATACCACTCCTTGGCATATACCCAAAGAACTCATCGTATTGCAGAGACACTTGTACATCCACATTTGTTGCTGCTCTTTTCACAACAGCCAACAGATGAAAGCAACCTAAGTGTCCCTCAATTGACGAATGGATAATGAAAATGTGGTTCATTTATATGATGGAGTTTTACTCAGCAATAAAGAAAGATGAAATCTGCAGGTAAATGGAACTAGAAACTGTTACACTAAGTGAAGTAACACAGACTCAGAAAAAAGAAAAAAAATCGATATGTTCTCCCTCATATGTGGATCCTAGAACCAAATCCTGATAA